GGCTCCTCCAGAGCCCTCCGCAGCCCCGGCTCCTTCTCCCCAGCGCGGCGCGCAGCATCCCCGCCACTCGAGACAGCAGCGAGCGCTCGCTCGGCGCAGGCGCCGCCGCCCCCTGCCCCTCCCGCCCCGGGACGGCCCTGGAGCGGCCGGGACGGGGCGCGCAGGCGCAGAGCCGGCCCCGGCTGCCCGCGGCATTCCCCGCGCCGGGGCCCTGCTCCTCTCCTGCCCGCGCTCCATAGGGCAGGGAGGCGTCCTGCCTGCCCGTGTTTGCGGCGGGAATCCCGCTGGGTGGTGGCTGGAAATTTGTACTTCCAGTTCGGCCTGCAGACTGTGACATACAACATTGCCGAGGTGGAATAGAAGTAGAAACCACCCCTCAACATCACCGCTCCGAAGGGTTTTCCGCACTTACCGAGGCAGGCAGCCGCACTGGGTGCCACTACATCCACCCAGCGGCACGATGGACATCCTTCACCTCAGCTCGCCGTCACTGAAGGCGCAGTATCACTTACACTGTGAGCTGTGCCTTCAGCTGGGGTTAGTTATGGAAGGGTTAGCTTGAGCTGACCTTTGAGCAACTCTTCCCTGAACGATGTACCCTCAGACTATTTTTAGTCTCTGTTAGGACAGAGCAGAAGGCTTGTTACAGGAACAGCATGGTGTCTTCATGCCTCTCCAATAGGATAAAAAAGCCTGCACAGAGGTTCACCTCTTATTTCTACGAAATATGTGAGGAAAAGGCAACTGCTGTATCTCAAAAGCGGCCAAAACTTCTGACTGCTTGAAAAGGAGCATGATGAATAGTACAGGCTTAAGACATGCCGCATGTCAGTCTGCCTAAATGCTGAGGAAGAACATAGAGAAAATCTACATGACAGGTTTTTTGACTGGACACTCTCTGTGCAATCAAAAGTATCACACAGATGCTCAAAGATCTTTCGACAAGAAGAAATTCATCAGCACAGTTACCCCAGTATAACTCAACATGTGCATGACGATACGTATTTCTCATTCATGTGGTGTGAAAAGGGTTTAAATTAAACTGTGCTTTTTTTGGAATGAGACAGATCAGATAATTTGGTAACTTAAATTGATGAAGTGTCTTATGTAGACATGTGTGCACAGTAAAAACAGATAGTCTTCCAGACTAAAGGATTATCAAAAAATTTAGATGAGCAGGTTTCTCTTTCTATTTTAGAATTTAAACGATATTGCCTCATTTTTCATAGACTGTATAACACTGGGGAGGTGAGCTCCCTGTGAATATAAAATTAGTTGTTGTCATTAAACAAAAACAAACTAAAATACTGTTAAAGCCAAAGAAAAGCAAGACTGGTATATAAAGCATAGAAACTTTCTGCTTATTTTAATAGTTAACTTTCGTTCACTGCTGCTCTGAAAGCCCTTTTTAATTTTCCTACGTTGCAATGTCCTAAAATCGAGTAGTGCTTTGCTGACAGAAATATATAATAATTTAAAAAAAAAAATCCTTACTATTTTTTACAGAGCTGTTGAGGATTTGCATTATTAGGTACCTGGGAACAGAGCAGGAATTGTAATAGACAACACTGTTAAATTGACTTTGTGCTAAATATAAAGTTCTCCAACAAAATAGCATTTTGCTACGGTTTTGAATGAGTAAGTCACTGCCTGAGCTACCACTCACTTAATTGCTGACGGTTCAAAGTGATTTTGAGGAAAACCCTTTCCATTAAAGTGCTCTTTAAATGTCACTCTGTGTTTTTTTCAGTCGGGGCTGCCGTAACACACAGCATTTGCAGCCTCAGACATTAAGACTCCAGAACAAAGGCGCACAATAAGTATATCTGAAGTGACACGAAATATGAGGTGAACACTCGCTTTGCTTCACAGGAGTTCATTTCGTTGGTTTTTAGCAGCTGTAGAACGGCGGGCATTCGCTGACAGCCACGCCGAGCCCACAAACCCCGTGAGCCCCATCGCCTGAGTTAGCGGGAATCCTCTGAGGCTCCTGCTCCGGATTATTCCCCTTCAGTTGAAAGCGAGCAGAATCCCTGGGGCTCGGCGCGCCAGGTCTCTGTGTGAGGCTGCCGGGCCCTCTCTCTCGCCTCCCGCTTCCAGGCGGGATGGGATGGACGACGCCTCGCCCTCCCCGCCGCGGAACGTTTAGAGGCCGGAACCTGCCGCCCGCCTGGCGGGGAAGAGGCGGGGGAAGAGAAAAGAGCGGACGCGGCGCCGCCGCCATTGCACAGGTTCCGCTCCCGCCGCCATTCCCGGCCTGTCCCGGCCATGTACCGGCCGGGATTCCGCGCGCCGACACCTCCCTACGCGGGCGGCGGCTTCCGGAGCCCTCCCTCCGGCGGAGGGCCCCTGCCGCCCTCTCCGCGGGGCTACGGGAGCCCCCACCACACGCCGCCCT